GGTTTAGGGTTTAGGGTTGAACCAGTAGGAAATGGATACTGACATGGAAGCTGGGGCTCTATGGGTTCCAGAGGGGATAGTTCTCAAAAGCTTCCATAACCAAAAAGAGAAAGTCATCTTGCAGTATGTGAAAGACTACTTTATCCCTTTTTCAGGTATTACGCATGCTGAGTTAGTAATACGGGTTTCTCAGAATGGGCCGCACCTTACAGACCCTAAGGATATTGGGGGGGGGGGGGGGGGNNAAGAGACTATTTGGGACCCTATTCATCCTGATTCTTTTGGGATTCCATAGCTTTGCGGAGTCATGCCCGCCCAGGCATGGTTATGTAAACCATGGGCTTCTCAGTTTTAGTGTGAACTTGCAAGAAATTCAGTTTGTTGGGGTCCGCATTCCTGCCTTAAACACCGTTCCTAAGTGCAGCCTGCTTTTCTCGGTTTGGTAAATGCGAGGCGTCTGGAAAAATCATCAACACTGATGCTCAAAACTCTCGACCGCAAAACTCTGATTTTTGTTAATCACAAAGCGGGGGTTTATGGACTCTTCTCGTGCAGATAGCTGAGCCCTTACCACCGCACTTGGCGGGGACTGTAGGTTTAAGGCTCTTGGCGGTCCAGCGCCTTGGCTTTTCTGGGCTTTGGGATTCAGAGCCTGGTCTAGCCAAACTCGATTACTGCTCCCAAATGGAAACCTTGTGTACATGTATATAAGGACCTGCCTTGTAAAAGGAACCTAACTTCAGAGGCCTGTACGATACGCGTGTGAGGAAACTACATAGATAAGGTTGCAATACAGGCCCACTTAAATCGCCTTCAATCAACCAAAAACTACATGGCAGTCTCCGGGATCGCGGGGGTCTTTACAAACCGGAGCATTACTGAGAAGTTCTTACGCCATCGAGTTTCCGAAACCTTGTGCGGCCATGTTGGAAGAATCGTCAACGATGACCCACACATTCTGATTCCTGCATTCCTGGGCCTGCCATGGCCTTAAAGGTCCAGAACTTCCTCTCTAAAACCCTCATCAGAGGTATTGTATGACACTAGCCCGTGAGGACAACCCGACGCGGTCCGGCCTTCGTGCGGCCCGTGGTGTTTTGCCCCGATAACGGGGCCGAAAAAGACTACAGCTCGGCAATGATCCCACGCTGCGGATATGCAACAAATAGCAGCACAGCCATGGAAAAATGCACTGCGTCACGCTTCATGTCATCTGTGTCAAGGAGAAGCCGTAGCAGCAAAGCTAGTAGCAGCAGGCATCGGCAGTCAAAGAGGCAGCGGCGGTAGCAGTTGCAATAGGCGTGCTAAAGCTGCGGCGGTAGAGCACGAAGGTGGTATCCTGCTTTGGCAGCTGCAACAGCTGTTAGCAGCATGCCTGTGGCAACAGGAATGAAGTATTGAAAGGCGGTCGGAACCGTGGAAGATGTCGTCGCTGCAGCAGCAGCATCACCACCACCAGCAGCAGCATCAGCATCAGCAGAAAGACGGGCAGCCAATGTGAGCGCACTGGCCATCCCGTTACCTTGACTGACTAAATAGGACTGGCACCAGAACCAAAGACAAGCTCAGGCAATCTCTCCGCAAGTTCG